ATCAAAATTGAAGGGGAAATTAAGAGTTTCACAGATAAAAAAAACGCTAAGGGAGTTTATCATTACCAAGCCAGCAATGCAAGAAATGCTAAAGGGAATGCTGTAAAAAGAAGAAATAAAAAGGTAAGAAAGAACACAGGCACAAAAATAGAAATGACTACAAACAAGTACATTTCAATAATAACTTTAAACATAAATGAACTAAAAGGTCCAATCAAAAGATATTAAGTGGCTGAATGGATAAAAACACATGACCCATATATATGCTGTCTACAAGAAACCCACCTCAGAAGAAGGTGAAAGTGAAGGGATGGAAAAATATCTTTCAGGCAAATGGAAATGAAAAAAAAAGCTGGGGTAGCAATACTTATATCTGACAAAATAGACCTCAAAATGAAGGCCATAACAAGCGATAAGGAAGGCTACTTCATAGTACTAAAGGGATCGATACAACAAGAGGATATAACCCTGATAAACATATACACACCCAATGCAGGAGCACCCAAATACATAAAAAAAACTCCTGGAAGATATCAAGGGAGAGATTTACAACAATACAATCATAGTAGGGGACTTAAACACACCACTGACATCACTGAATAAATCCTCTAGACAAAAAATCAACAAAGTAACAGCAATCCTAAATGACTCTCTAGATCAAATAGACTTAATTGACATCTTCAGAACATTTCAAAACAAAGACAAGGAATATACATTCTTCTCAAGTGCACATGGGACATTTTCAAAAATAGACCACATATTTGGTCACAAGCAAAGTCTCCCCAAATTCAAGAAGATTGAAATTATACCAAGCATCTTCTCAGACCACAATGGCATAATATTAAAAATTAACTACAATAAAAACAACCCCAAATACTCAAACACTTGGAAGCTGAATAGCATGCTACTAAATAATAATTGGGTTACCAATGAGATCAGAGAAGAAATTAAAAACATCCGTTAAACTAATGACAATAAAAACACAACAATCCAAAATTTATGGGACACAATGAAAGCAGTCCTGAGAGGGAAGTTTATAGCTCTACAGGCCTACCTAAAAAACAAGAAAATATGATAGTAAATCATCTAACTCTACAACTCCAAGAATTAGAAAGAGAGCAACAAGAAAAGCCCAGAGTGAGCAGAAGGAAGGAGATAATAAAGATTAGAGCAGAAATAAATGACATAGAGACCAAAAAAAAAAAAAAAACAATACAAAAGATCAATGAAACCAAGAGCTGGTTCTTTGAAAGGATAAACAGGATTGGTGAACCTCTAACAAGACTCACCAAGAAAGAAAGAGAGAGGAGCCAAATAAACAAAATCAGAAATGAAAGAGACGAAATAACAACAGACCCCACAGAAATTCAAAGGATTGTTAAAAAATACTATGAACAACTCTACTCCAACAAACTAGACAATCTGGAGGAAATGGACATATTCCTAGAAAAATACAACCTTCCAAAACTCAATCAGGAAGATTCTAATAATCTCAATAGACCAATAACTATGGAAGAAATTGAAGCAGTCATCAAAAAGCTCCCAGCAAACAAAAGCCCGGGGCCAGACGGCTTCACAGGGGAGTTTTACCAAACATTCAAGGAAGAACTAAAACCTATCCTCCTCAGAATATTCCAGAAAATTCAAGAGGAAGGAACACTTCCAAGCTCATTCTATGAAGCCAGCATCACCCTAATACCAAAACCAGGTAAAGACAACACAATGAAGGAGAATTATAGGCCAATATCCTTCATGAACATAGATGCCAAAATACTCAACAAAATTCTAGCAAATTGGATCCAGCAATACACTATGACCAAGTAGGATTTATCCTGGGGATGCAAGGATGGTACAATATCCACAAATCAATCAACGTGATTTATCACATAAACAAATTGAGAGATAAAAATCACATAGTCATATCAATTGATGCAGGAAAAACATTTTACAAAATCCAACACCTTTTCTTGATAACAACTCTCAGCAAGGTAGGAATGGAAGGATCATACCTCAACATAATAAAAACCATATATGACACAACCACAACCAACATCATACTCAATGGTCAAAAACTATACCATTTTGCCTAAGAACAGGAACAAGACAGGGATGCTCACTCTCACCACTCCTGTTCTACATAGTACTGGAAGTACTAGCCATTGCGATCAGACAAGAAGAAATAAAAAGCATCCAAATTGGAAAAGAAGAAGTAAAACTGTCCTTATTTGCAGATGAGATGATACTGTACATAGAAAACCATAAAGACTCCATCAAAAAATTATTAGACTTAATAAACAAATTCAGCAATGTAGCAGGATACAAAATTAATGCCAAGAAATCTATGGCATTTATTTACACCTATAGCGAACTTACAGAAAGAGAAACTACAAAAGCAATCCCATTTATCATTGCACCAAAGAAATTAAGATACCTAGCAATAAACTTAACTTAGGAGGTAAAATTCCTATATTCAAAAAACTACAGGACACTGAAAAAAGAGATAGAGGAAGACATAAACAGATGGAAGAACATACCGTGTTCATGGATTGGTAGAATCAACATCATCAAAATGTCTATACTACCCAAAGCAATCTATAGATTCAATGCAATCCCCATTAAATTACCAATGGCATATTTCACAGATCTAGAACGAACATTCCAAAAATTCATGTGGAATAAAAAAAGACCTCGAATAGCTGCAGCGATCCTGAGAAAGAAGAACAAAGTAGGTGGGATCTCAATACCAGATATCAAGCTGTATTACAAAGCCACTGTTCTTAAAACAGCTTGGTACTGGCACAAGAACAGACATATAGATCAATGGAACAGAGTAGAGAACCCAGAAATCGACCCAAACCACTCCGCCCAATTAATATTCGACAGAGGAGGCAAGAGCATACAATGGAGTCAAGACAGTCTCTTCAATAAATTGTGTTGGGAAAATTGGACAGATACATGCAAAAAGATGAAACTAAACCACCAACTTACACCTTACACATAAATAAACTCAAAATGAATAAAGGACTTAAACGTAAGATGGGAAACCATAAAAATACTAGAGGAATCCACAGGCAGCACAATCACAGACATATGCCGAAGGAATTTCTTCTCTGATAATGCTCCTAGGGCAATGGAAACTAAAGAGAAAATAAACAAATGGGACTACATCAAAATAAAAAGCTTTTGCACAGCAAAGGAAACCATCAACAAACCAAGAAGAAAGCCCACTGCATGGGAGAACATATTTGCTAATGTTATCCCTGATAAGGGTTTAATCTCCAGCATTTACAGGGAACTCATACAATTTAATAAAAGGAAGATAAACAATCCAATCAAAAAAAAAGGGCAACAGACCTAAATAGACACTTTTTGAAAGAGGACATACAGAAGGCCGAAAGACATATGAAAACATGCTCAAAGTCACTAATTATACGAGAGATGCAAATCAAAACAACAACACGGTATCATCTCACTCCTGTCAGAATGGCTATCATCAACAAATCAACAAACCACAAGTGTTGGAGAGGATGTGGAGAAAAAGGTACCCTTTTGCACTGCTGGTGGGAATGCAGACAGGTGCAGCCACTGTAGAGAACAGTACCCAAACCACTATGCCCAATTAATATTCAACAGAGGAGGCAAGAGCATATAATGGACTCACTAAAAATGGAACTCCCATTTGACCCAGTGATCCCACTTCTAGGAATATATCCCAAGAAGCTAGAAGCACCAATCAGAAAGGATATATGTATCCCTATGTTCATAGCAGTACAATTCACCATAGCTAAGATTGGAAAGAGCCTAAGTGCCCATCAGCAGGTGAGTCGATTAAAAAACTGTGGTACATCTACACAATGGAATGTTACGCTGTGGTAAAAAACGAGTTCTTACCATTTGCAACAGCATGGATGGAACTGGAGAGCACTATGCTAAGTGAAATAAGCCAGTCAGAGAAAGACAAATACCACATGATCTCACTCATTTGTGGAATATAGTGAACAACATAGGCTGATGAAAAGGGATAGATCCAGAGACAGAGAAGCAGCAATAAGACTGTCAAACCTCAGAGGGAAAGTAGGGGAGGGTGGGGGTAAGGGGGAGATATCAACCAAAGGACTTGTATGCATACATATAAGCCCAACTAATGGACACAGACAACAGGGGGGCGAGGGCATAAGTGGGGGGGGGTTTATGAGGGGAATGAGGTCACATATGTAATACCTTAATCAATAAAGAAATTAAAGATTGAGAGAAAACAGGACATTAGGCCTTCCAGGTAGAGCTTATTGATGAAGTACAAGAAAAATAAGGGAATTGAGAAATATTTTACAACTGAAAAAGCCCAAAACTACACAGTTATAGACACTTGAAATTCTTAAAAATAATTTTCTTATTATTTTTAACTAGGTTTTTTTTAATAGTCTTTCAGGATTAGAAGTAAATCTGGAGATATGTAGGCACACATTTTCTGAATTGCTTTTTTTTTTATTTCTAGAGTTATTAGCCAAATGATACTTTGTTGTCCTCATGTACTAAAAGGTAATCATGAATTAATTTACAATGATAATTCACAGAGGCAAAAGTCTGATAACATTATAAATAGTAATGAGTGGATATCCCTAGGAAGATACTTCTGCTAAACTTTATATAATGTGAAATATCTCTTCATCATAGTCATGCTTTTTACAAAAAGAGTGAAAAAATCATGTAAGCTATGTACTCTTTGTAGAAGTGGCACATTATACAGAGCTCCAAATGCCACAATGAAACAAAATATTTTGCAAATGGTGAAAATTCATTATGATACATGGAAAATAAGTTTCTGTTTTGTCTGTTACCAATGCAAGTCTCATGTTTGTGAAATTCACTATTCCAAAAGAAAATCTACACACTTAAGTGATGTTTATTTAAAATTTTATACTTTTCTGCTTAATTGTGGTTTTCTGTCTGATGCTGGCCATAGTTTCAAAGTTTTTCTAACTACAACTATTTAATTTTAGACACACCTGTGAGGAAGATACAAGACAACAAAAGAGTGCAAGGTAAATGTATTAACTATAGTAATGTACATTTGTAACACATGTGTTGTTAAAAGAAACCAAAGAAAAGGAGAGTGCTTTCATATATTTTATTGGACTTTGTTGTCTATTAGGGAGAACAGTTAGCCAATGGGGGTAGAATATTTTGATATCAAGAAGATAAATTGTTTATATTCTGCACTATTAGTAAAATCTAAGAATAACAAATATTAAGGAAAAAGTAATTATACTCATCTAAAGTGCTAGATACATTGAACCCTTTAGGAAAATTCAAATAGAGTTAATATGGAAAGAAATCCTTAAATATCAGAGCTGAACAAAAGTAAGAAAGGAGGATCTGAACTTTGTAAAATGTTATTTTTTGAGATGAGACTAGAGTTGAAGTATAAACACTGTCCACATACAGACGATTGTTAATATAACTGTTCAAAATTTTGATATCATGTGTAGATTACATATACATAATTTACATCCCATGCACTATCATATTCTTTATAACTATGTTTATGTTCACTTTCTAATCTTCCACTTAGGTTACCTTACATTCTAATACATTAAAAAATCAAAGATTCCCCTTATGGAACTTGGAATAAATTATAAATTTGGAATTTCTAAAATAATTACATACTGGTAGTCAAAAGAAGTTCCAAGTCTTACAAATGCATTATGGGCATATCTGATTTTAAGCTAATCCAATACAGACATTTGAAATTAAATAATCAATGGTACATGTAATTTTTAATTAAAATTTATCAGGGATTTCTTCTGAACTTTCAAATTCATTCAAATTTTCTAGAGAACTAAAATCACCACTTTAAATTATCATTTTCATATACCTTTATACAAAGTATAACCTTGATTTTATCATCATAAATGAAGGATATTATTAAGAAACTAGAGGCGCAGTGCTTGAAATTCATGCACTCGGCAGGGGGGTGGGGACGAGGGTCCCTCAACCTGGCCTGTGCCTTCTCGCAGTCTGGGAGCCCTCAGAGGATGTCCAACTGGCGACTTAGGCCTAAGCTGCCAGTCAGACATCTGTAGTGCTGCTGCGGAGGTGGGAGAGGCTCCCACCACCGCCGCTGTGCTTGCCAGCATGAGCCCAGCTTCTGGCTGAGCGGTGCTCCCCCTGTGGGACTGCACTTACCACCAGGGGGAAGCTCCTGTATTGTGTCTTCCCCCTGGTGGTCAGTGCACTTCACAGAGAACTGTCGTTCTGCTGGTCATTCTGCCGTTCAGTCAATTTGCATATTAGCCTTTTATTATATAAGCTATGGTCTTTTATAGATATAGTTATACATAGAATATCATATTTTTAAACTCTAATATTTCATTACATTTATTATCTATATGTTCTCTTTTCTTCCTAATCAGGATCTAGAAGACGATCAAGAGAAGGTCGTTCTCAGTGAAAATCCAGACAAGACGACAAAGTTTATACAACCCTAAACCCTGACATTAAAGAATTATTATGAAAGCCACTTTGATTTCAGGAAATAAACCATCATCACAAAAAAAATAATCATTGAACAATTCTGAATGCAAATTTAATTCTAGGAAAATGAGGGGAATTGTGGACTTTACAATCTCAATTGTGAGATGGGAACTGAGGGAATTCAAACACCTTACAGGCTTTTACATCTTGACATTAAACATTCTGACGAACTTTGGGATCCATCAGAGAAAATCCTTATCACTGGATTCATTACAATTCAAATCTCAGTGGTGAGCCATTATCCGATTCAGAAAATTAAGCCTTGAATTTATTTAGTGGATAGACAAAATGTATGCAATCAGTTATTTCTCCATGAAAAACTAACTTATAGAAAAGGGTGCTCAATATTAAGAAAACAGCCCTAGCCAGTTTGGCTCAGTGAATAGAGCATTGGCCTGAGGACTGAAGGTTCCCAGGTTCGATTCTGGCGCATGCCCAGGTTCGAGGGGGGTGTGCAGGAGGCAGCCGATCAATGATTCTCTCTCATCATTGATGTTTCTATCTCTCTCTCTTCCTCTCTGAAACCAAAAAAATATATATTTTTAAAATATTAAGAAAACAAACAAAACTTTTACATCAAAAGGTTTTGCACATTTCTAATGCAATGTGGGTTTACTGGTAAATTAGGTATTTCTACAACTCATTTTATACTCTTGAAATATTTGTCATATGCTGTTTGCAGTACATATTTTTATATCAAATATTTCAATATAACCATACATTTTTCAGCTATAAAGAGAATTACTTCAAATTGGGTAATTCAGAAAACTCAAGATTTAAATTAATAAGTGGTTTGGACATGGATTTTTATACCTCCATTGTTATAACAAATACTCATTAAAGGAAGCTGAATAAATTTAGTGCTTCTTGAATATTTAAAACTATTGCTTTGAAAAAGAATCATTATACAATAAATCAATTATTAAACATGAACTGAGTACCTAATATAACCCCAGAACTGTACTAAATTACGAGGAGCAAACGATGAATTACACAGTCACAGTCCTCAAAGGGTAGAGACAAATCACCAATAACCCATAATGCACCACGGCCTTTAATCAACACTATACAATCACAAATACATCAATTATTTTTTCTATGATTGAGCTAGACATAGGAGTAACCACAGAGAGCTCTGAACTGAAACTGAAGTAATATTAGAGTCCATTGCATGACAAAAGAGGGAAGAAAAATATTTGTTTATTGAGAATGATAAAGGTACCAGATTAATCTACCCAGATCTCAGTAAGTGTCATTCTTGCTTGGACTAGTTGATATAAGAGTATTTAAGAAATAGAATGTATACTCATAAGGAAATGATTAGTGATTGTGTAATAAAATTATATCATGCACTGGAAATCAGTCATTGGGAAATTATAAAACTAAGGAGGGCCAAACTAAAGATACCAGTCTTGACTATACTTACCCAGCTTGGATCAGAGGTTCAGTTCTAAAGTACCACTACAGGACCTGGAAACTTTTTGGGTAGCTGAGAAGCAATTTGAGTGAGGAAATAAGACATAAAATTTTGATAATATTGCTTGGTGAAGAAGTGTTTGATAGCCTTGGTTTTCCAGAATGCTTTCTAGTCTGGGCCAGAGAAGTTTGTTCTGGACTCTGACTACTGGAAAATCTACACAGCTGTCTTTTGGACCAGCAGAGTGATCTGCATAGAGAAATCGAAGTCCTGTGCAGAGCTGATTTTCTGCCCTTTTCTGCTTGGTTTGGTGGTATGGGGGAATTGGTGCCATGCAGAGCTGGGAATTTTTACTGTATTTCTGAGGGAGGCTTCTGTCAGGGAGACTGACAGGCAGGTCCTGAGCTCTGTGACTTCACTGTGGGCAGACATACCTGAGCTTACTGGGAGTTTCACTGCAAAGCACCAGGAAAGAGTAATAGTGCTTGTCGCCCCTCCTGCAGGCTGTGGGCTCCACCCCCAACAGGAGAGTGTTTGGTTCAGCTCTGTGAAGTCCAAGATACCCCTGCTGGGTGCAGTTCTGTGAGGTATAGGGGTTCCTCTCAGAGCAGGCATTGACAAAGTGAGACACTTGGAGGCTGTTATCTGGGACCAGCAGAAAGTGCTTAGCCCTCTCCTGTGGGTTGGGCCAGAAATATCTTCAATGGGAGACTCTTTTGATCTCTCCCCCTGTGCCCATGGGGACTGAATCTGCTCCTGCAGAGGAGACGGCAAGCTGTGCCCAACCTGAACCTGCAGTGAGTCCCATTAGGGGAAACTAGAGTTGGACACTCTGGCAGAGACTGAGATTAACTTTGAAGCATGGACTAATTTTCCCTCCTTGAGTACCTGACTGTGTAATCCCCAAGCAGGGAGCCAACTAGCTAAGCTAGGCTAGCCAGGGTTCATCCTAAAGACTCTCTTTGGAAGACTCTGGAAGAAGGCCAGGAGTAGCTGACAGGTGGAGGTGTATCTCAGGGAGCCTTGGTCTGATCACAGATCTTCCCCCAGCCCTAACCTGGAAGAAGCTGAACCATTTACATAAATTGGCCCCTCCCATGTACACAATGTCTGACAGTGACCTGCATCTAAAACACACACTAGAGAATGCAGAATTAACACAACAAGGAAGGTATGGGCTTCAGACCAAACCAGAGCTCAACCCAACTAGACACACAAACAGCACACCCAAAGAAGGATCCCAGCAGGTTCCAGACCCTGCTAGCAAGAACACTGCCTAAGGGGGAAGTCCCTGCACATCATCTTATACAAGGTGATCAAGGTTTGCCTCTATAGACACCCAGCCTAAAGGGTTTATGATTGTGCCACTGCATTCAAATAAGGTAGTTAGAGACTGTACCTGAATAGCAGTTTGCATGCCAGCATTGAGGTTGAGCCTCATAGTCAACCCTCTTGAGGGTCAATTCCACCCACAAATGGGCCAACAGCAAGCAAGACCAAATTAAAACAGAAAGATCCAAATAATAAAGAGACATTTCTAGAGCACCCAACCCAGGAGATCAAGGAGACTGTACTACTGAGACCCACACAACATGCACTACAGAAGGCCACACCACCAAAACTGGGAGTCTTAGCAGTTCTACCTAATAAAAAGAAACAAACACAGGGAGACAGCCAAAATGAGAAGACAAAGAATCAGACCTTAAATGAAAGAACAGGAGGAATCTCCAAAAAAAAAAAAAAAGAGCTAAGTTAAATGGAGGCAAAAAATTTATCAGAAACAGAGCTCAAAGTAATGAATATAAGAATGTTCAGAAGAATGAAAAAGAACATAGAAACCATGTAAAACAACCAATCAGAAGTAAAGAATGAAATAGCTGAAATAAAGAATACACTGAAAGAAATAACCAGTAGGCTGGAGGAAACAGAAGGAACAAATTAGTGAATTAAAATAAAAGATAGAAAAAATATCACTCAATAAAGCAGAAAAGGAAAAAATAATTAGTTTGTTAAAGGGAACTCTGGAAAAATGTAAAACAAAACAACATCCTTATCATAGGAGTACTAGAGGGAGAAGAAAGTGAGCAAGGGATAAAGAACCTGTTTGAAGAAATAATGACAGAAAACTCCCCTAACCTGGTGAAGAAAAAGACACACAAGTTTAGGAAGTACAAAGCCCCAATCAAGATGAACCCAAAGAGAACCACACCAAGACACATCATAATTAAAATGGCAAACTTTAAACAGCAAGAGAGAATCTTAAAGGCAGCAAGAGAAAGATAGTCAGTTACCTAAAAGGGAGCAATCATATGGCTGTCAGTTGATTTCTCAACAGAAACACTACAGGTCAGAAGTCAATGGCATGTAGTATTCAAAATAATGAAAGCAAGGATCAGAAACAAAGACTAATCTATCCAGCAAGGCTGTCATTCAAAATATACGGTAAAATAAAGAACTTCCCAGACCAAAAAAAAAAAAAAAAGGCTAAACAAGCTTATTACCAATGTTGGGTCTGAGCTCCTCTGCTAGGGACTGAACCTCCTTTGACACTGGGAATTGGGAAAAAACATGAGCAACCACAAGTACATGGGTCGTGCTTTATTGCAAACAAAGCAGCCATTACAAACAAAGCAATCACTGCCTAGAAAGCAGCCAACCACTGGCTGGTCAGTAGCAGATTTTTATACTAACTCAGACAAAAGAGTCTTCTTGCCAAATAGTGGCATCAGTGTTACATGAACTAGTTACATACTATATAGGTGTGCCTGCACAGTGGATACAGTGAAACACTGTGTCATTGCCTTTGCACATGCCTATGGCAAACGGGCCTTTAACATTCTGCTTCCTCTGGTCAGGGTCCCCACAACCACCAAACCACCTTTGCAAGAAAGGTTAAAGGGACTGCTATAAGAAGAAGGAGAAATAAGAGGGAGAGAAGAGGGGGAGGGAGAGAGAGAAGAATATAGGCATAAAGAGATGGAAAAAAATTCATGCAAATGGAAACAAACAAAAAAGCTGAGGTAACAATACTAACAAAATAGACTTCAAAACAAGGGGCATAAAAGAGATAAAGATCCCTGGCCAACTATGCTCAGTTGGTTGAGCATAGTTCTATTCACCAAATACGTCACTGATTTGGTTCCAGTTCAGGGCACATGTATGAGTTGTGGGCCCTGATAAGGGATGTATAGGAGGCAGCTGGTAGATGTTTCTCTCTCAGTCTCACTCTTCCATCCTCTCTCCCTAAAATCAATAAAAAATATATTTTAAAAAAGAGAGACAAAGATCATTACATAATACTAAATGAATCAATCCAACAAGAAAATATAACCCTGATAAACATATATGCACCCAATATAGGAGCACCTAAACAATATATATATACTAGAGGCCTGGTGCGCAAATATTTGTGCACTGGCTGGGGGCGGGGTGTCCCTCAGCCCCACTTGTGCCCTCTCACAGTCTGGGACCCCTTGGGAGATAATGACCTGCTGGCTTAGGTCCGCTCCTGGGTGGCAGAGGGCAGGCCCAATCCCTAGGTGCAGCCCCTGGTCGGGCTCAGAGCAGGGCTGATTGGGAAGTTGGGGCGCTGCCCCCTGTCATGCACAGAGCAGGGTGGATTGGGAGGTTGCGATGCCACCCCCAGTCA